TTCTCAGAAAATGAGGCACAAAAAATGGTTCCCCTAGAATAACTGAAAAGAAAAAAGTGGTTTTTTTCCATGTGCCTCTTAAATGTAGCTATTTTGATAATTTATTCTCCAATCTTTATCCCAAGGGACTGCTAATAATGCCTGGAGATATCTGAGGTGGAAAATCCACTCAAATGGAAATCATGATACTTGGGTTCTAATTGTGCCATTAATAGCTTTAGACAAACTATATAACCTTCCAGAGCATCAGTTTTCACACGCACAAAATTGGGGCATAGATTAAATATATAAGCAATTTCTTCTTTTATTTTTCATTCAATAAGAAAAAATGTTCAAACCACAAAAAACACTAGAGAGAGAATACATTTGGAAATGAAAGAAAATTTAAGTTGCTTTTATGTACTAAACACAAACACACACACGCACACACGCACACACACAGTCACCAAATGAGATGAGATACACTTGACAAATTGATTTACTCCATCACTAATTTGGGAACCCTGCAAATGAATGTATTAAGGAATCAACACAAATAAGCGATGATAGAGCATTTCTATATACTTTGATTGGCATCAGACTTTCTAGAACCACATGGAACTTTATCCTAGAGTAGTAGAAATGCAGGCCTAGAGCACTGAAGTAACTTGCTTAAGGATAAAGCTAGTGAACGGGAAAACTAGAATTAGACCAGATCTTTTGACTCTAAATTTAATTTTTCAAAGTTCAAGTCAACAAACATTTATTATATGTCTACGTGTGCCAAGCATATGCTAGGCACCAGAAATAAAAAGATAAATAATACACAATACCTTACTTCAAAAGATTTAGTAACTATTGAAAAAGCCTACAGAGCGAGGTCAATGGAACAAACACTTGTTTAGGGCCCACCATTTGGAAGAAGGCATATGTGAATTCCAAACAACTGTAGATTTGCCATTTTCATTTCCCACGAACTTTGGTGAATGATTTTCTTCCTTAGTATGCTGATAACTTACTTTTAAATATACCTTTAAAAATAAAGTGGAGAAGAATGGAATAAAAGAGAACATGGACTCTACTGAAACAGATGGCATATAATATGAGGAATGATATTAAGCAATAGATATGAAATATCTTTTTGCAAACAACTCTTACAGTACTTATTGTTTTAGAATGCCTAGGGCTAGTCAATTTTACCCCCCAAAACCTAAAGCACAATAAGATGTGGCTGAGTCCAATCTATAATAATCCTTGAGATCAGTCAGAAAACATGGAGAACATTCTCTTTACAATCTCCAGAACAACCATCTATACATTTATCCAAACCTTTGTTCAAATTTTTACATGTATATTCCATATGTGTTGCCTCCCAAAGTCTGCTCCTCCCTGCCACCACCTTCGTAAACAACTAGTACTTTCCTTTTTCTCCTAAAATTGACTTTCATATGTGGCCCTTAGTTTGAGGATTCTAAAATTAGTAAAGTTCCAAGATTAGAGATAACACACAATTAGAACTAACAGGGAATTTAGAGATCACTCATTTTAACATTCAATTCAAGAACCATAATGCAGAGAAACATTTCAATCAAATTAATGTTAGAAGCAAACATTTATTTAAAAACAACTAAATAAAAGATCACAACTGATATAGGGAAATAATATAGAGAAAATGTACATTTTTAGTAAGGGTCAACTGAGGTTTTTACTGATTTTGCTATACCACAAAATTTGGAATCATTGCCTGTTGAGATCGAATTTTAATAAAATGTTTACATTCAACAGCAGCAAACATTTCACCAAAGCACATGAATGCACCATACTAATTATCTCTAATAATAATTTTTAAATAATGTAAGAATTTCAGCTGTAGGAGCTGAAATAACTAGGTCATGAAACTGGTGGGGAGAAAAGGATGCTTGCTAAATCACATAGTGATATGCAATTTAGAACCAAGGTCAATTTCTGTAATAATTCAAAAGTCATAAAAATGTAAAAGAA